GTAACCAAGTACGAACTATATCTTCTTTATGGTTTGTAAGGCTCTCTTCATCTAAAGAATGACGAATACCCTTCAGTCTTCTTGACTAGACACTCTCAGCTTCGCTTGCCCAAGCATTCGGGAAGAAAGTTTCATCTCATCTTCCTATGTAAGCTTTTGTGTTTTTTGCTACATACACGTCCTGAGTTTGGCATGTAGCTCAGTTAAGATCAAGACAGCGTTTGCCCTGAATTAATAAAATTTTGCTGATAAATTACTGTCAAATGTAAGTGTTTTTGGTAAATACAAACATATTTACGCGAATATTTTGTTTCTTTAGACTGTGTTTTCTGTGGCAATGGATAGCAGGACACAACGGGTGTCATTAGTTGTTATCGCGATGTTGTATTTGGGTTGTTCTAAGCTGGTCTCAGGTGTTTTTTCAACTGAAATACGTTACAAATGCCATATTTTAACGAAAAAACTTAGAAAAATGGTGGAAAGTAAACGTTTTCAGCGGATTGAGTGAACATGTATCTGTCATCGAATTTCGTTGTTTCCTTGCATGTGGAATGTTAAAATTCTGTTTAAATTGTTGATTAAGGGAGGGAGGGTGGCGTTAGCTAATCAGTAGATATGGTGGTGGTCACTAAGTTGAATCACCCCCTTCTGCAGGAACAGCAGTATGCTACTTGACGGCTCGAGATATTTCTGATTTTTATGAGGGCATAGATCTTTATCTTGAAAAAGATAATAATGAACGCCTAGACAAATCATGCTTCTGCCTTTAAATATATACCATTCGCTCAGCCTATTGTTGAGATGCGACCACATGGGCTCTGCACAGATTTATGGGGCATCCCATAAACTAACTTGCTGTCCATTGTCGGATCTTTAAATACCACTTCACAACGTCTCATCTCATTCATTTCCTAATAACGTCTTTACTTAACCCTCACTATATTCCATTAAACCTAACATTTTATAGCTCTATATGAATTTGATTCGACTTATTCTATTCCTATTCTCTGTAGGGTACGGCTGTGCACCAAATGCACAAAAAGGTATAAAATAAAAAACTGGCATGAGGAAAAATGTATTAAAGCCAAAAGTGGACATCATGATAGTACGAAGAATATTGGTATCATTATACATTGCAAATGAACGTTGTCAGCCTAGGGAGTCTCCTTCATTAATGCATTTATTAATGATACGCGCACTTACCTATTTCACTACACTTTATTGGTTCACGTTAGCACTTTTACTTTTCTAAAACAGCTTCCAATCCCTTGTAAACGTTGTACTTACCTCAATATTGGTTGGTTATCGTATGCCTACAACCACGGGATGAAAACGAAACGAAGTCAGTTTTCCCGCGCAAGCTGAAGGACAACTGTACAATTCAATAACTATACGGCCTGGTTCAGACAATCGGTGTATTTATATATGTATATATATATATCAAATATTTAAGTGTTGAAACATTATTAACTTGTAGACAATCTACGATTTGATAATATTTCATACATGATCGTGTCTCTAAAAATGGCATGCATTTTCATGTTAATTTGTATGTTTATGTGAGAATACACATAATTATTATTACGTTGAGATAAACGAAAAAATTAGGTAATCGATGTATATTTTGCGAAATTCTGGGGTAGTGTTTCGAATCTCTGAGTTATGAAAACTTGGTAACAGTCCGAAGAGTTTACAGCTACACAGGAATGTTAGCTGATTTATTAGTAAGATAACAGTGAATAAACGAAGATTTTCCTAAAAGGTACTTTGGTTTGAAGCATTTTAGCATTGCCAATTATTTGGTAACAGATGTTTTACTGTTGTTGATTTTCAGGTTACAATTGTAATTTACGCAATGGTTCACTTTATTTGGAAATTTTGATGCAGTGCAATTGAAGAATTTGCGTGTTGACTTTGGAATACTTGTGATATTATACAATTGTTAATCAAAATAAATATTTTTTAAAAAATTTAACGGTATTCTTTTAATAGTACTCCCCTTTGCTTGTCGAAGAAATAGTGATGTAGCAAGTTTTGGAATGCGTAATGATTTACTTTGAAAGAGTGATAATTTGTGCAGTATTAGAGCACTAGGATGATTATCTTCAATAGAATATACCAATAATGCGTTATTTTTGATGTACGTAGCCGTCCTACATTTTTATTATGTATATATATGTAGAAATCGCATTACAAACATAAGCTCAGCCCTGATGAAAGATAATCTTTTACACAATCGGACTGAATGTAACTGAGATGTTGCACACACACACACACATAAGGACTAATAACGGTCTACGACTTTGACAGTATTTTACAAAAAGGTTACTATATAGTAACCATTACAATACAAACACTTGTTTGATGCTCTTTCTTTCTTGACACTAATCTATACTTATACTATGCGTAAGCGGATTAAATGTAGCTGAAACACTAAATGCAAGGCTTGATGGCGCACTTAGGAAATAATAACCGTTTACGATTATGACACATTTTACACAAGTATTACACACAAGTTGCCTATCAATTTCGTTAACTATGCTACACCCTCGAAATGATAAGTAAGGGAGATACAGGTAGTCGACACAAATGCATATATTTACAAAAGAACAACAGTCAAACAGTACATATTTACATTAAAAGGGTTTATAACAATTCAGTGAAAAAATCACAGTTGTAGATTTTTTATGGCCACATCATGGTCAAATTAAAGTCCACTAATCGTTCTATCCACAATATGTGAATCAGTTTCCCTCAGATGATAGTGACCCTGGACCCGCCTTTACCGTTTCAGCACCATCCCATCCTTCAGAAGAAACTGGTTATTACCTTCCTATGCAAAGATCGAGATCGTACTCCTTCGGCCACCTCCGGCGGCACTGAGAAATATCTAAGGATGTATACATATCAGGTGAATTAATCTTACCTCAGGCGGACAATTCCTTATCTTAGACACAATGAATATGTTGACAAGGGAGGGAACAGTAGTAGAATGGGTAAGATTAGTCCATATATTCCATGACAGATTTGAAGAATTATAGAACTTCCGATTTGTCTTTCACAGTTTGTCTTCCGCAAAATGCAAATATTACACAACTGCCTCTCCAGTCCGTCCGTTACAACCAACTGAAAAAGACTAAATTTTCAAACTTTACACTTCTTTGGTTAGGTTGCCCAATAATATTATTTTTGTTAGTGGGTCCACATGCATAACACATCTGTAAAATTTACACATATGTCAGCTCGTACCATTAAGCTGAAAACTGTAACGTTTATGCGATTTTTATCATTATCATTTCAAAGCTCGCCTCAGTAACGTGTGCTAAATATTAGCCGCAGCGTTTACACAAGGGAAAATCTACCAATCACAATATGCATACGCCACCTTGAAGTGCTCAGCCTCTCAATAAGCCGTGTGTGCCGCTATCCATTACCTTTTTGTATATACCAGTTTTTGGAAAATAAGAAACTTACCAGTGTTTTTATAAAGTGCACATGGGTTTAGTTTTTCAGTCTGCCAATTATTCGTGCCGTAGCTTCACTAGAAATGTTTTACGAGCCGGGATTTTGGCTCATTCAACTCGTCTGCCAGTCTTAACAGGTTTCATATTGGCACTCGCGCCGTCCGCTACCGTTTTTGAAAGCCTTTCTAGCTCTACGGAGAAGGATTCTTGTCTAGAAGGCTGATTTTAGTCTGTTAGCGCTAACAATATCTGTGATATTACTTGGTTGAATAACAGAGTGACACAGGTGCCCTGCCATCTTATTCTACGCAAATACACATTCCTGCCAAAAGTAGAATACCGTTTTCCTGCAGGATTAATACGTTCAGAGAAGAATGCTATTGGTTCCCAGCTCACCTGTTTGGGCTATCCCCACAGACTTATCTGATGCATCTACCATTAATTGAAGACAAGCATATGGACCAAGATGTTTCGGGGCTGTGTCCTTCTCCAGCACTTCTTTCAGCCGTGAAATTGCGTTGGATACCTTTCGGGCGGCCGAAAGTCTTTTGGTTTTTCCTGTAATGCATCAGTCAGGGGCTTCATGTATTGTGCGCAGCTAGGCAAAGAGCGTCTGTGAAAATTGGTCAGCCTCGGAAAACTCCGGAGTTGTGTGAGGGATGTGGTTAGGGGATACTAACTGGTGGTTTCCATCTCTTTGGGTATTGGTGTGATCGTGGCACTGTCAGCAACATGCTCAAGGAATTCGATTGCCTGTGACTCAAAACCGCACTTACTTTGATTGATTGTCATGCCGTTGTCTTCTGGCTCGCGTAATACTGCCCAAATGTGTATTTATATCTGGGATAGCAATGAATAAGTCACCTATGTATGCTCTGGCGAACGACGGTTCACGAAGTAAGTTCTTCGTATATCTTAGAAAAGTCTGTGCAGAATTTTGGAGACTGAATGGCACCAACACAGACCCATATACTGCTAAAGGGGCTTCAATGGCCGTTTTAAGTAGATCTTACTCAGCCACCGGAATGTTGTGATCAACGTGAACTAAGTCTACCTCAGTAAATATTGTGGGACCTCACAGGCTACTTGTCAAATCTTGAATGTGTGGTACTGAGTACATGTCTAAGACGGCTTGTTAATTTAGGGCTCTGTAATCACCTCAAGGGAGCCAGACAGACCTGATTTCTAGGTCATGTCAGTCAAATTCAGGTAACCTAACTATGGTAGTTACTGAAGAATCCACCTCTTCAGAAGTAGAGCTTTTAAAGTCAGTTTCCATGTTTAATAAATGGTACATTATGATAAGTAAAAAATTAAACTAAATAATAAGTATGACATAAACAATATCCGAGAAACAACCAAAAGCAGAGAGATATGGATTTCAGTCAATTATAGCAAAATAGAAGACAGGATGTGGACGAAACGGGCTCTCCTATTAGACAACCAACTTTTATGTCGAAATAATTTTTTAAATTACCAACTAACAGCCCTCAGTATTTCAGAAGACTTATGGTGTTTATGAACCTTTGTTTTCAAATGCATGTGTAAGTGAACCTGAAAGTGTTTAGTCAAGAAGACTGAAAGGTATTCGTCATTCTTTAGATGAAGAGAGCCTTACAAACCATAAAGAAGATATAGTTCCTACTTGGTTACTTGTCCTATCCTTTTGAGTTTCCCAATCACTTACTGCATCAGATGATACTGTGTTGTGGGGACCCTTAGGGCGTTTGTCTACTGTGGTTTGCAGTTTTCTACAGATGTTTTACTTTTGACATGGTGGGCGTTGTTTCTAGGGGCGTAGTACGGGATATTTTTAACCTGCCTTCCTATTTGTTTGAATTCTGCTGCAACTATGTTGGAGTTCTGTTCGCTTTGACAGTGTTTTCTTGTCCGAAATAATATCCTTCCAACTTACGTAGTTTTGCTGATCTTAGCGAGGCATTTGATAAGTCATTCACCTCGAAAATGTGCTGAAAATGATGTGAAACAAAAGCAGGTGTAATTTAGTTCCTCAACGACATGACCACTTGGTATTATCTTCATTGACGAAACTATTTCAAAAAGAAGTTCGAAATTCACAGAGATACATATTTCATTTGTAAACACAAGTTACAAGAACTTGCATTTCTTCATTATCTGCACTTGAAACTGGACGGTAAAGTGGGTTTGCGCGCACTTTACTAAGTTTGCGTCACCCTGCGTGCAGTCAGTTGTGTTTGGTATATTGTTGGCAAGTGTAATAATGAACTAATCTCAGTACCAAGTAATGTCCTGAACAACCTCATAGTTTTAAATGAATTAGGAACCATAAACTATTTGTCTTCATGTCCTCACCTACATTACGTTTTTATCATTATTATATCCATTAATTCCTAGAGGAACATAGGGCTTCAGCTGCGCGTCTCCATCACCTTTGGTTTTCTGCCAACTTTTTCACACCGCTCCATTTAACCTTCAAAGGGATGGGAATGTCGTTTGGTATTTTCCAGATGGGAGACTAGCCTCGAGCTAATCTTGCAACCTTGTTCCGACAATATTTTTCACTTTTATGTCGAAATTTTGCTTGTTGTCGATTGCATCTACTAGTAGTTTTGTTGACATCTCACCTTCTAAGTTGACAGTACGTATGATAAAAGTATTGGTAATATACAGCAATTGTTTTTGTAAAGACATTTAAGGCCACCCTTGAGAATTACGACCATGGAGTGCTAACGCACTAATGACATTGAACGCATGCTGTTCTCTAGATGACATGACCTGCCGTATGAAGACCGCACAAATTGAGGTGCAGTTTTAGAGCTTTTCTGGAAAAGTTAAACTATCTGTCAAGATCGCAGTGATCTTGAATAACTAATCAGGACTCATATGCTAAACGTCGCATAATCGTTGAAAAATACATTAGAAAATATCGTCAACTTGACATTACACTGTAGTTGCGGCTTGTGTTGTAAGATCGTCTCCCAATGAATACACTTATGGTCCATGGAGAAATCGTACCATGCTCGACATAATCATTCACCCCGGTGACTAGATCGTGATACTTTGGGATCCATTGATATTTCTGACACTTTCCTCCAACCTACTCCTAACACCAACAATAATCCTAACTTTAACCCCAAACCTAACCGTAGCCTTAGACCCTTAACCTCAAAAGCTATAACCCTACCTAACAGTATAGATTTGCAGAAAAAGTACCTAGTAACTATGTAGAATACTGCATCTGTCCTCTCCAAATCCGAAATCTCAGGTATGATTTGATTCGGAATGACATTTTATAGCATTCCCTGTGTGTGATTGGTTCGTGAAGGTCGAATTTTGAAAGACCTGGACTTTGGCTATGATACTTTAACTTCCCCGGTAAAGATTGGTTTCAGGGTTAGCATTAGGGTGTTTTATTCTTATCCGAATTTTTCTTGTAAATCAGTAAAGGCTTGCAGAAGGGCTCGTATTTTGGAGTTGCATAAGGGTGAAGTATCCTCTCTAATGCGTTTCATAACTATTATATGCATTTTTTGCATGAAGAAGCGGTACAGATGGAATGATTAAGAGGATCCTGATCAGAAAAACTGAATATTATTTTGTACCATTGCATACTTTACTTACATAGAAGTTTCCTAAAATCTATTTCAGCTGTCTGCCTCTATTGTTTGGCGATAATGCTAATATGTACTGATTAAGATAGTGTGTAAATGTGAGCATTTCGTTCACAGGCATTACCTTTATTACTAGATTTATTTTCGTAGACACACGTAGGCAGGTTATCAGAAAAGATGCTTGTATAATTTGCAGTCGATATTTACACATAATTAGGTCTATTGGTAGGTATAACGTTAGTATGCCTCAGTACTAGCAGATTGTGCTGCTTGACACGCTTTTCCCACAAAACATCGGTATTTTCTGCATTAGTTATTTAAATCACTTAGTACATACTTTGCCTTTATATCACCACCTGTATATATCATTTGAGTTAAGATAATGAAACAACTCATTTTGCGATAATTTGTAAACTTTAATCCATAAGTTTTTGGTCGTATGACGACCACTGAGCTTTTAAGGACGCACATTTATTGCTTACAAGCTTAGTCGTCTAATAAAGTTAATACTGTTTCTTCGTTTTGTCATTCCTATAAAAAATGGGAGATAAAGCTCACTATTGCGAAGGTAATTCAGAATTAATTAGGAATTAGAACCTTACATTACCGTATTTTTTATGTTAAATACGATGTCTTCATTAGTCAGTTGACTCGTTAACAAACTTTATAGAGTTGCTTCTTGTAAGCAATATACTGTCCAACTACTTCATTTCCTAAAAATGTGCAATCTAAATAGCTTATTCTCCTACGTGATGTTTTAACCTGCCTCCTTCGTTGATTCTTTCGTTGTTCCACCATACACACACGTTTCACTAGTCACATAGCACAACTGCTACTTTGCACATCTCCTTCGTAAAGGCCTTGTTCCAAGCGACATTTACAGTTTAGTACCTTCGCTTAAATATTTTTAATCTGGCATCAATTGAACATAGTTCACGAGTGTGATCGTTGACTTGAAATGTGAAATTTCTGCTAAAGGCTTACTCAACTCATAGTGTTAGGCAGATTATATCCTCATAACATCGTCGTAGAGGACCATGTTGTCTTCGTACTAATATCACATTCTCGAATCTTCAAATTTCAGGGTTTTTGGGACTTGAAATCGAAATTTATATATAGGATTTCATCTGTTAGGTGTGAATGTACGTAAAGTAATCAGGTTAATCAAAGTAAGTGTTTGTTAGTCTTATGATTTCTGACAACATGAGTATTAAGTTAGGAGCTCTTAGCAGTGTCAAATATGGGATAGATATTCCATGCACCGAAAGCATTCACCTGATTGTTCTATGATGGGCTTTAGTGGTATTACCAATAGGATCGGTGGTATCGATTGATTTCCCCTCCTTGCCTAGCACTCGACGCCTAGGTAAGAGGGGGGGAATCAATCGACGAGGCTGTGAAGCTACATCGACTTAGGTGGTCAGGACATGTTTTACGTATAGCTAGCCATCGCCTTCCTCGGCAGGCAATGTTAGCTGATATAGGGTCAGGCTGGAATACAGCTAGCGGCGGTCAAACCAAAACATGGCACCGGTCAATGAAATCCGCAACAGTTAGTTTAAGCCAGCTACGTAGGAAGATGTAGACTTCCTGGTTGGGGTCCTCGGGACGGTAAGAACTAATGACTGGAGACGATCGGTGATATGGCTCAAGATCGTTCTCAATGGCTGGCGCAGATGCATCCACTCCTTGTGACTTATGATTTCCAGTGAAACTATACTGTTCTTTGTTATTACTATTCCTTTTGTCTCATATCCCTGTTTACTGTCTCTGGTTTGCATTTCTTCTCTTGCTTTGTGTACTACATGGAGTGTGGTGACTTGATCTGCTGCACATCGGTACAAAGTTCTATGTTGACAACAGACAGACGTGTCAGAGAGATTACCTAATTAGAAATGATTAGGTCACTGGTTCAAACTCTACTCCGTCTACTGCTGTATGGCTTACCAGATATTATCAATCCTCACACAAAGATGTAACTGATCGCCATCTGCACTAAGATGTCTGTGGTCTCCGAATAATACACTATACTCTCTACCTGGAATACCTGACTTTTTCAGGTTCAAAACACCTGATCGTGGCAATATTCATAGTATTGCAAGTATCTGTGGCAACACTGTTATGTACTAGTTTTTCCCGTCGCCAAATTGTTATGTACTAGTTTTCCCCGTCGCCAAATTGTTATGTACTCGTCGCTGAATTATTGTTATGGACTGGTCGAGAAACTAATAGTCCTGACGCGAGAAGGCGGAAATCAGAAGACCACTAGGTTTGCGATGATACTTCTATTGTCCAAACACAAGGAGACGAAAATAAATGGTCTCACACCAAAGTGGTAAGTAAGTAAAGTAGTTGTAAAGTAAAGTAGTTCACACAAATTGTGAATGCGAATAAATATAAATAATTCAGACAAGCGTGGGAAAAATCATTAGACAGTCTTAACATGAATGGCTAATTATAATGAAGTGTCGATCCAATTATACATAGCGAATATAGCAGACATGCCAACAAACATATATGGATATATGTCACCAAGCAACGGACTGTCAACAATACTCATATTATATATAATATAGTATAAGGAGAATACACATTATTAAAGGAGACAAGTTAATACAAGTGAAGTGGTCACAGACTAACCGAGCAAACAGAAAGAGAGACCAACATACACACACACACATAAATATATATATGTGGATACATATCAAACACCATGTAAGTAATGCTGAAGTCTAGCAATGTACGTCTGAGTAAGGCAGAGGTCGTTATTTTAACAAGTAAAAATGATCTTGCGGCATGGTTGGGATTTCCTATGAATGTATGCTAGGTGGTTTCTACCCCCTCTACAGCTTACCATCCCTGGAGTTGGTTAGGAGAAGAGGTCAACTCATGGAGTCGCTGAAATGAGATTAGGTTCAAAAATAGATAGGGATGGGAAGGGCGGAAAGTGATAACAATCCACACAGTCTTTGCTTGTTGGTTTGAGTCATGTCCGGAGGTGTGGACTATTTCGTGGGATTCCTCAGACTGCTAAGACGGATGACTGGTGATGAAAGACAATAGGGCAGGCGTGTTCACTCCTGACCTCCCTATCCTCAAAACGTTCATTAATTTCTATTTAATTGTTTCGTTTATCGTAGATCTTTGTCCACTGTACTATCATTGAATTCTTTTCCCCTACAGTTGTGAAGTGTTACAACATGAACTGGTGCGATTTGCACAGTGTTCTACGTTCACAAGTCAATTAGTGTTTTCTTAAATTCCACTAGTCATCAGCATTTCCATACAGCTTGCAATCAGAATATTTATGTCTTGCATTCATGTTTCTGCAGTGATTGAGTATCTAATTCTTTGGTTGTTATTTCTAATAGATTTGAAAATATGGAATCTCCTAATATTGATTGTCCGGCTCTGCGTCTTGCTAGGAACCGCAACGTCTCACTCCCTACCTCCACCGAAGTCGCCGATTCGTTTTCATTTGTAGTTCTTGCTGACCCTCAACTGGGTTTGTTCGAAAAGTATATCGAGAAGCTGCCACAACCTGATCATTGGGACAGAGAAGTGGATCATACGACTAGAGCAGTGAATATTATCAATCGCTTGAGTCCGAAACCAGCGTTTGTTGTTATATGTGGTGATCTTGTTAATGATCAACCAGGACTAAGTTATCGATATAAACAGACATCAGATCTGTTGAGTGTGTTATCTCATCTGAAAAGTGATATCCCATTGATTGTATTACCAGGAAATCATGATGTTGGAGATCATCCTGATGTCAATGACATAGAAGACTATAAAGGTGTCTGGGGAGATGACTACTTCTCGTTTGTAGTAAATCGTGTGAGATTTCTTGTACTCAATACACAATATTTATGGGATGATTCCAAATGCGTGTCCTTGGCCAGTGAATTTCGACAATGGTTAAATGAACAGCTTTCTATGAAGAATGAGGACTTTGATATGTCGGTTGTATTTCAGGTAATATATTCTTAAGTTTTCAAGTATTCAACAGAATGACAAGTGGATAAATTAATTAGCGTGAAACACTGCATAAATGTGTGTTAGTTAATGATTTGTGAATTTCGTAAAGGCGTATGTGAAGCAACAGAACATAAGGATAATGCTGAACAAGTACACTAAAAAAAGAGTAATTTTCATCTTAATCTTACTTCAGGTATTTCTGGTCACTTAGGAAGATATTGGTTTGACATGAGTAACAAATGTTCCAACCATGACAACCAACATAGTCAGTCAGTAGGCTTACATTATTTACGCTACACTACGTCTGAATTAACCGCGTTATCCCATATTACTTGAAGGGAGACACGTATGATCGATATACTACACTCTTTCGGTGTCTTAAGTTGATGTAATGTGATGCAAACTGCTATTCAGTATGGTCGACGATTGGTAGGTTACCAGATACTTCATCAGCGCCGAGTGATAACACCAGTCGGTAAGTATTGTATCATCATGTATATTAGCGTGAAGGGAACAGATTGATTTGTATATTGAAATAATACTATTTACACCTAACCCTCCTGGTAGGGATGTTTCTTCACACGTGTCTAATGTAGTTCACCCTGTCACAACTACTGTGGATTTCGTCATCAATCAACACCAATTCGGGAATCACTGAAAGCATGAGAGCACTGGGTAGTTGTTTTCTCCTGGTTTGGGACTATCCATTAGTGCACATCCACAACACTTGCAGAGATTGAATCTACTACCCTTAGATGACGAGGCCAGATTATTAGCACTTCAGCTACATGGACCTGAATCCAATGATCCATGAAATAAATCCTAACCTCTATCACTCCGTGAGTTGGCACTACCACCAACTAATATTACTGATGATCACCCACTTCACCGTAAAATGGTTGGTCTTACTAATCATAACTGTTTACGACATCCATGCAGTAGCCACTAGTGATGTGTCTAGTGCTTCTTGGGTTTCAATGATTCTCTGATTGATGTTGGTTCGTGATGAGGTCTACATTGAAATTAATCGATATGCATAATCTAAGTATTGATGAATAGTTCTTTTCGTTCTTCTGCTTTTTCTCCTCAAATTCTCCTTTTCAGCATATACCCTTTTTCTTGGATAACATAGATGAACCAGATGACTACTTCAATATTCCCAAGAAATGTCGTAAGGAGATTATTCATCAACTTTACAATAATGGAATTTATTACACCTTCTCTGGTCATTTGCATAAAAACAATGTGATCACATATACTCCACGCGAACGTGATAGCAATGTCAAGAGAGATGAATTACCCTTTTCAATGATTAGTTCATCATCAGTTTGTGTACAACTTGGTGATGATCAGCCGGGAATTCGTCTTGTGCGTATTAATAGGTTAGCTACTAATGTCAGTGAGAACTGTTTAAAGCATGTTTATTGGTCATTAGGTGAGTTGGAGAAGATATTATTCAGTGGAAAACAACCTGAATTTTAGTCATTCATAAATCCCCTTGAACAAAGTGTGTCCATACTTTTGGAATATTTCTTTTTGATGTTGATTTTTTTCTCTCATTTCTTGCCGTTCCCATCGAAACACATGGGGCTTCAAACCTGAAGTTTCAGGTGTCAATGGCGAAGCTTTTATGTTTTATAAAGTGGGGTTGTCAACCTCACGCCTAGCCTCCGCCCTTTAACCGGGCTTACCACTGGTCAACTGAGGTTTAGGAGTGAGTTGGTGGCTGGGTAATTGAACTCGCGTGCAGACCCTGTGAGTGGTTGACGCACATGATGTGAAATATCTCTTCTTAACTTTACCTTGTTATTTTCTAGTTACATTTCTCAATTGACTTGAATTATTTTTCCAAGTTTTTCTTTGGAGAATTGTTTTGTAATTACAAATGTAATTTATGGTCGAAAAAGAAAAGGAAATATAGTTCCTAAATCACAGTCGTTCGCCTTTTTCTTACTTCTCGTAATGATTGTCGCTTTTCAAAGTGTTCCGTTTGTTGTTTGCACAAAGCAGAAGGAATATACACATTGGGTCATAGGAGTTATTAAGAAGACAATTGCAGCGAAGAAAATTTTCTTTTCGACGAAGTCAATGCAGAAAGCTTACATAGTGGGCTCAACACACACCACTGTGATCGTAACTATTTTCGCCCTAAAATTTATTCACTTTACATTTGTGGTGTGGCAGGACTTCCAGAAATATTTGTTCCAGGCAGTATAGCTGGTTATGTCATTGAATTGTGCGTGTCCAGCTTACTGTGTCAAGGTAGCGGTTATCATTCGCCACATGGCATAGCACAGGATTCACCCTCAGTATGGCATGTACCCTCTTGTTTTTAATAGCTCACTTTCTTGTGGCTTCTTTCCGTCCTCCGTTTTACAACACTCGACAATCTTCGACTATTCTCCGTTTTTATCCTTTACGTTCCGAGTAGAGCAGAGGGAGGGATTAGACCTTTGAAGTTTCAGGAGGGTTGTCGTTGTTTTTATGGTGTGTGGTGGTAGCTAACCTCATGCCCAACCTTCCCTGTTTTGCGGCCTTTCGGCCAGATAGTAATCTAAGCGGGGTTTATGAGTGAGTAGGCCATGAATCGACCCAGAATCTCCCAGGATAGAACTATTCATATTTCCTCACTTATTTTTTATCTCTTACCTTCTGTTTGATGTGCCTTATATGAATGATCGATTCCATTCTGATCACTGTTCAGTGGCCCTGCATCCTATATTTATAATATTTGTACATCTGTTTGCTCAATTTCTTTGACATATCAAACGAATAAGCTTAGAGTTGAAAAAGCAAAGGGATTATCAGTTGGGTGAAGCAAAAATGCAACTGAGCAAATTGTAGACTGAAAAATTAAGAAGTGCAAAAGTGCTCAAACGATTTTTGGTAATTTAACGTTCACGAGAATTTTTTAAAAGACTGACTGCTGAACAAAGAATATTCTTTTTGATGACCTGCCCTTCATCAGCTTCTGCAATTATCTACATAATCCATAATAATGAAAGAATTAGGGTTACTAATAACATTAATGTTGTTTAAATAACATCGAATCAATAATAATATGAATGGATTACAGTTTGTTAGCGTCAAGGTAACAATACACTAAATATCAGAGGAATTACGAAATATAATGATACAAATTCATGAATTTGTAGTCTCCTTTGAAGGCCGGCCAGGGCAGTAATAAGGGGTTGGACCTGTTTCTTCTGCACACAGAAAACCGGTTGTTCCAGGTCATTAGCGGTAACCTTTTGCTTTTTGGAGTATGCGCTACCTGGATCCTTTTGGCAATTTATTTGGTACTCGATAGAAGATAGAGAAGAACTTTGCAACTTTGGCTTTGTAACCAGCTTGAACCAGGTGGTCTAATATGGAGCTATACATGCTTCTAGATGTTCCCGAGAGAGCACGAAAAATAAAGTTCGTAAGGCGGCGGCCAATATAACTCGCTCCACAGGCGCAGTTGGTTGAATTGGTAGATACAAGTAGAAGAGGCTAGTCTAAGTAATTCATCTTTCAGTCGAGGGAATCATCACCGGTCGTGTAGAAAATAAGACTTGTCGTTTGCCAGCATTAAAAGCTCTTTGAACTGATTTTCTTAACTCCTTTGTAATTATTTCACTAGGGATATCTCCCTTGAATTGCAGTCACATGTATAAATGCTTCTTGTTTACGGATAGTGATTAGCCCCTTTCAACTTTCTTAGTCATATGTTTCCTGATGAATTTGTCTGGATAGCTAATCGATTGATTTGTCAAAGTAAACACCTAATAAGAAGGAATGTAAACAAAATACCGTCTTGTAATAAATCCACTGAGTTACTCACAGAATGTCAATTCGACCGAAGACGTATCTCCTTCAAACTGGCATCACATTTCGGCTTACACAAATCAACATGTGCGTTTTGAGCGATTTCAGGCTACCGATCATTATTGATTACATGAATACTCAATAATAGAACGCATAAATATTATGCTATAATTTAATTGATAGAATTGATGACAACTAATATATGAACTGGTTAGTGTACAGAGTTATGATTTATGGATATTGAGGCATCTACTGGTATCTGTTAACTTGAATTCGTGATGTTATCGGTATATAATAATCCTACCATACAAGGTAAGTTTGTTGCATAGATATATAACCTAAATGGATTATCATTGTAGTGTAAGCTTCCTTACATTAAGGGGAGGATGTGAAGACGAAATCATATTGATAGTGGAAAGGGTTGTTTTGATAGTAGTCAACTGTCCAGTTAACCAGCTATGGTGCTTTCTCATTCGAAGAAGGAAGTATTGAAAAAGATCGGTCTTTAAAACTACACATCTTGATTTACTCCTTCATAGTCCTCAACCGGCAGCAATATGCATTGTTTTCCTTTGCTGGGTCTCCTATTGACTACAGTTTGAATAAAATAAGGAGATGAGTTCTACTCAGAGCTGCCTAGAGTAAAGCGCTCAGATTTATTTGCCTCAGTAGGTGTCTTTAATAGCCAAACTTAGGAAGGTGATAGGTCAGTAGGGGCTCATTGCAGTCCCAAGCCAACGAACTGGCAGTGGTGTTAGTTGACGGCAATGACTTTAAACGGTGAGAGAGAGGCATTATATTACTCGGTAATCTACAGTGAACAAGAACAGACTAATTCGCAATAAATTATTCATTCAAAGAGTCAGTGAACGATTAACATAAATGTCATTTATTACTGTGCAGTGACCCTTGCAGGAGAATACTTCTGTATGGTCAATGGGACATAAAAATAAGCACGTCTGTATTTGTCATTTGGTCAGGTTAAAGGTTAAGACTTGTGCATCAAGTTGCGAAAGCTATTCTTGTCGAAAAGAGAACCAGGTAACAGGATCTGGTGATTCATAACTCAAATAAAGATAATATACAGTTCTTAAGACAAGCAACAAAGGTTAATGTAATTCTAATCCCTGTATCTAGATTATCTAGTTGAAGAGTTCCATCGAAATTCGATGAATTGATTAAATCCTGCCTTATTAACTTTTGTTGCTCGTTTTAAATTCATATCGGGAAATGAATATTTCAAAATCTACGATTGAATTTTAAAGAAGAAAGATATTGATTGATATTTATTCAAATTTATTTGATAGTAAGCGATTATTGATTTACAATATGTTGATTTTAACAACTTGAAGGTGTTATAATCATAAATCCCAGACTTGTAATTAAATGTTTTCAATTTAAACGCTTTGGAGGATTTTCTTCTTAGTATTTGTGAAATTAATCTTTTTTTCTCATCTTTCAGCCCTGTCTACACTTGATTATTGATCATTAATATAATAGTAATAATAATAATAATGAAATGGGATAAATTTTTATTCAATTGGAATACTCCATATTTAATGCAAACTTGGCATAACGATTACTTATCATCATTATCGAAAGCACCCATCAGTAGATTGATTCGTTTCTATTCAAAATTGTATCCTACTGTTACTGCTAATATTGGTGACGCTAGTAGTCGTAGTATGAATCAGAATAAGAAGCTGTCGACTGTTAGTTTATTTCAAGTATCTAAAGTATTACCATCGGCATCATCATCACCATCATCGTTCTCATCTACACTTAGAAATCATCAACAGACTAATTTAGGTCTGGGACTTTTTCATCCGAAGAAGAAGCGTGTAGACAAAGTGAGTCAGTATTACTATTACTATTATTATTATTGTGTGTGAATGCTTTTCAAGTGGGAATTTGATTGAATTCAATTTTGATCACAGGCTGGTATCATTTAGAGAACTACTGAGAATACGGGGAACCGAACCCAAGATTTTAAGGTTGTTATGTCATCTGTTATACCATTCAGCCATTGGGATGAAATTCAATATCCAGTCCACGAATTTTAACTTCCGCCAATTCACGTTTATGAATAAGATGTGTACATAAGTGTATTGTGTCCCATAAATGTACTTGTTAATATCCTTTTATATATTTATTTATTTTATTATTTATTGTTCCTAGTGGACCATAGGTCTTCAGTAACACATCTAGACTTTTTTCTATTTTCTGCTATCCTCTTCAGCTGGGCTCACGGTCGCCCATAATCTCTCATCTCCTCATCGTATCATCTTCTCCATGTCACCGTCACACTGACGACTCATTCTCTGCTTCCCATTGCGATTCTACTGGAGCGGTGCAGTGCATTGCATGCGATGTCATTCGACAGTCTCTTCACTGTGTGCCCTATCTATCTCCATTTTCTTGTAAATATTTGTTGAGCAGTCGACTCCTAGTTGGTTTTTTGCCAGAATTTCTTGTCGCTAATTCTTTGTGGTTAGCTAGCCATTTGATCTTCACTATGGAGCCAGCGAAGGCAGCTGTTGATGAAAGTCTGCAACTTGCTGGAAATCCCTTCCGTGACTCACACGCAGTGCAAGTTTCCGACCCGCATAGAAGGACCGACTTCACATTTGCATTGGAAATCCGAATCATGTTCTCTATGCTGGCTGAGTGCCAAAGATTTCCAAACTGTTTTCAGGTTGATGAAGGCGTGTCTTACCTCTCCGATTCTGATTGGCTTTGACGTCTTGATCCGTTCCTGCTGCTTGTAGATGAAACGATTCTTCCTAGATAATTGAAGGAGACAACCTCTGTTAAATCTCTCCCGTTGATAGTGATTGGTGCTGGTTGTTGCTGTTGATTGGTTATCTTCATCACCTCTGTCTTCTGTGTGTTCACCTGCAGTCCTGTTTTCACTGCCTCTCCAGTCAGTTTGTTGGTTTTTGTCCACCTGCAGGTCTTCGAGTTTGTGTGACATTAGACATATATCATCTGCGAAATCCCCACATTTTGAAGTCTTCTTATCGATCGTCTAGAGTATTCCTGACTCCTCGCCCCCAACAGTCTGACGCATAATTCAGTCCGCCACAATTAAGAATATCATCGGTGATAATAGATGACAGCCTTATCTTACTATTGTATACACTTCAAACGCCTCGCTGAGTTTTCTATTGTGGATCACTTGGCACGTGGCATTTTCATGTAGCTGTTGAATTAGGTTGATAAAGACTTGGGTACTGCACGCCGTAGTGTTGAAATAGTTTCCAAAACACTTCTCGGCCGACGCTGTCAAACGCATTTTCTCAATCGAAAAAATTACATAGTTTAGGAGTTTCGTATTTATGAGATTAAGGTGATAACAAATTTGATTGATAAACAATTGTGTTGAGGTTTCCTATATGGTTTTTGTCTGGTGTACCCATAGGGACGGCGTGATAGTAACTGATGAAACCCTGCAATGAAGTATATTATCATCAAATTATTTGTCTAGGGTACTGGTTCCTATCTGCCATCTTTTTAGTTGGAGAGTATTGAGTGACTAAGTCAGTCGAGTTAAGAAATATCGATCACTATTTTCGTTTCTCAGTCACAGCAGAATATGTGGCGGTTGAAGTTTCGTTGTTTAATTTTAAGATGATTTGCATAAGAATTAACAATGTAGGAAAACTAATGCATGTATTCAAGTATGGGTAGGGATTTGGTTGATTAGCTACGGGATTTCATCATGAGCTGACATTGGTTAGAGAACCATTGGAAAACCTGGAAGTACTGGACGACTGTTTCTTCCTAGTTCAAGACTCTTCACAGTACGCACCCACCGGGGTTCGAACCCAGGACCTTCTGGCTACTGGCCATATTCTGTTAGGTAGTTACCTGAGGGTCTAGTGAGAAGTCATGACCAGTAGGGTTCAGCAGGTCGGGTGTGAAGACAAATACTTGGCGAAGACATTGGCTAGGGGTCGCGCTATGTCGTGAATTGGCAGAAGTTAGAATTCATGGGCCATTGGATCATGTCCCAGTGGCTTAATGGTCTACGAGCTCCCTAGTCTTGTAACTAGAAGGTCCTGGGTTCGAACCCAGTTGTTGTGGGTGCGTACTGGTGAAGAGTCTCAAACAAGGACGAAACAGATGTCCAGTGCTTCCAGGTTTTCCAATGGTTCTCTACCCAATGTCAGCTCATGATGAAATTCTGTAACTAATGCATGTATTGTTGTTTGTTGGTTTCAGTGTGCAGTCTTAGTCTGTTGGTGTAGGGGTATTCTCTTTTTCAACCAGGTGTCACTACTGGTTGAAATCTTGTTACGCCCAATGAGACCTAAATAATTTAGCACTGTTTATACAATAAATAATATTAGATTCATTTTCAAGTATACAGATCTCCGCCCTCAGCGACATACAACAGTGTTAGTATGCATCTTACCCTAGTTTCTAATTTCTTTTCTGCAATATTTATCACTAATAGAAATTTTGCAATCATTAGAGTGAACATGATTCAGATTCTGTCATCACATCGAAAATTAAATAACCTTATCTTCATTGGTATTTTTTTATTGAATTTGAGATTTTCCCGTCGATTGATTGGACCGAAGTGCTCGGTCTCAGGTCGACATGTCGGCTTCTTGTGCAGATGCTTCGACGATGTCCAGCGTTTAGTTAGTATTTAATTGGTGGATGGTGGCTAGCAGTCAACTAGCAATCAATCGACGAGAAAATCTCAAATTCAATAAAATTAATATGACCCGATGCACAAGAGGTGGCTCTCGTGGCCCAAGTGGTCTAGTGGATAGAGCTTTGGCGTTTGAAACTATGGGTACTGGGTTCGAGCCCCGGTGGGAGCATCATCACTCACTGAGGAATATGGGTACATCCAGATGACGAGTCCCAAATAGGACGAAATGCGCATCCTGGATTCCACTGCTAGTCACCATCCACCAATTAACTTCATTGGTAATTTACAAGATGCCTCGATGGTTCAGTACAGGCACTACTAACTCTAATATTACAAATTCAAGGAAACTTTGCACTTAGAGTGACAATATATGGAAGATTAAGCCGTCAGAATTAAGAATCCATCACCATCCACTCGCTTTTTTATTACTTCAGTTTAAAGAAAACTTGGAACTCCATGAAAAAATGTATTGCAAGAATAACCATAAGGCGTCTGATTGCATACTACTGCCTATCAAATGAGAATGAAAACAGTACCAATCGAGACCTAAGTACAGTCGGCAGCTGTTGACTGACGCGCACTGCTCGCCAGCCATACAACTGTCGTCTAAGTTCGATTCCCAGCTGATACACTTCGAAACCTTGTCTAATCTACTAGGCACTTAGTAAAGTTGGAAGACAGCGAAAGTTGGACGTAACAGTATCAACTTCAGCCTGTAAAATCAACAATACCGCTAGTGAAACGCCAATACTTGAATCCTTATGTTCTACTTGTTAGTGCAAAAATTAAACTTTTTAACCTTATTTTAAAGAAAACAAAACCCCGAATTATTATTCAGTAGATCTTTTCCGTACACATATATCTATATTATTTTACCACATGTAGGATGCTGTCGGTGTCAAACAATCTGGTTTCCTCAATATCTCCGGTTATGGTTTTGCTCAATTTACTGATTTAAAAATGTTACATTCTTATTTATCAAAACTTGACATGTACAAATTTCCAGTATTACCATCAGAATTATCATCTGAAGTATTATTGGTTTCACAATTGAATAATTCGTCTATTGAATGTAATACTACTGTAAATATATGGGATGCATTTATTTTCAAGTAAGTTTACTTTTGTCTGTATTAAACATTATCTACTTATGCATAGATGGAAGTCTTTTTCTAAATTAATTCAAGTATTGGTTTGTAGGGGTTTGATTGATTCGTTACAGGATTTCATCAAGAGAACCATTGAAAAACTACCTCGGAGTACTGGGTAGATGTTTCGTCCTGGTTTGTGACTCTTCATCAGCACGCACTCACTAGGGTTCGAACCAGGGTGTTCTGGTTACAAGGGAGGAGCTTGTAGACCATTAAGGCACTGGGAGCCGATCCAATGGCCTATGAATTCCAAATTCTGCCAATTCATGACATGGCGCGACCACCAGCCAATGTCTTTGGCGAGTATTTGTCTACGAGCTTGCTTTGTAACCAGAAGGACCTGAGTTCGAACCCCACGGGGGCCTATTACTGAAGAGTCCCGAGTTAGGCTGACGAAAAACCTGACTGTCCAATACTCCCAGGTGGTTTTTCAATGGTTGTCTAACCCATGTCAGCTCATGGTGAAATCCTGTAATGAATCTAACATTTTTATTTTGTTATGCTTATTGTTCTGTTTGTTGTTTGAACTGAATTCGAGGAACTAGTCTTTCGTGTCCCAGGCTGTTATAAGTGGAGCACGACTCATACCTGGGGGATTCAATGACTGAAAGTTGACTGCTTAAATCATTCAGCCACGTATATCTACAAGTATGATTATTATAGTTATGCTTAAATGAAAGAGTAGCTATTATCAGATAAAAAGGTTTCAGGTGTCTTAATTGATTTGTTTTCTTCAAGCCTTTATATGTTTGTTTGTTTGATATTGGTTAACAGTGGAATACAGGGCATGCATCTCGTCCTATTTGGAAGACTCATCAACTGTAGATGTACATGCGTTTTCAATATGATGTTCAGTTCTCACTTCTTGAGAATCAAAATAACAATTTCATTAAATAACTCTTGTCACTGACTGATTGACTGACTGAGTTTCAACGGAGAGCTTTGCACTGAAGTATAGAAGTTTAATCTAACATACTCCAAATTGCTTACAAAGAAAGGCAAAAAAAAGAAATTGAATAGGGCCATAATGCGCTAAAATTTGTGAAAAAAATGATAGTAAATTGGAGAAATATAAAGGCTGTGAAGAGTGAATACATCTGCGCTACTAAAAGCTGTTTGAACCATGTCATCAACAGTCTCACACGATTTCTATTGTTAGAGTCTCGTGTAACCCAATCAGGGTGGGCTGAATTCAATTACGAAATATTATGAAATGGGAGACAATGGTGGTAATTGGTTATAGTAGATTCATAGAATCTGGGGTAGGAAACCTTGACAAGTTAATTCGAGGTTATAAAAGGTGTCAGGTGAATGGCTAGTACAAAGTAGTATGTATTAAAGAGGGGATTGTAAGACTGCATTGAGTTCATCATGAAATAACCATTATGTGAAATGAAACAGGTGGTGACGTTGATTAAGAAAAGAGATAATATTACTAATGATAAGTCCGGATAGTATAAATGGAAAATTCCATAATATTGAAAGGAAGTTTGAATGAAGGGTATAAATTATAAGGAATAATAATTATAATAATAAGCAAAGAAAGAAAAAACCCAAGATGGATAATGGGAAGCAGCACTCTTGCTGAGAAGAAGAAACTTTGATCCAAGTTTGGTCATGGTAGGAACAGCACCTGAACGTGTTATTTCGGATAAAAAATTCTGGTTTAGTCGATCTTACTGCGACAGCTTCAGCTATGTGTAGGAGACGTAAGCAAACTGCACGTGATAACGACTTCGGAGTTTGGTATATAACACTGAAGAATGTGTTGGCATCGATGCGATATCTAGTATTGACGAAGTTTGACAGCAACGAGCTTTTTATGCATTGAATTTCCCTTCTTGCAGAACCAAGCTGGTAAATGTTCTCGAATCCGTAGACGAACCTGCCTAATCATACGCCTTATATAACTTGAACCACAGGAACAAGTGAAACGATATATGCATGAAGAAGGGCTAAGGTTAAGTTAGACGTCTTTCAGTCGCTGGGTAAACATCGGATGGCTACTACCCTACATTCTACGAATCTGTTATGACTAATCACCACCACTTTCGCCTATTTCACAATATTTTGTAATTGAATTCAGCCCAGAGCACGCTTGTCACACAAATACTCTTTATTCTAGCACCCCATAACTAATGTTAGTGTACGTAAAAATGTATCCGCCGCATAACTGGCCATTATTGTAACGACAACAAATATTGTATTTTATAATTGTAAGAACCTGAAGAGGAATTATCGAAAAGAATATTCTTCGTTCAGATTGACTTTTAATTCATGATATAAGAATATTTCACGCCATTTACATCTTATATTATTATTGCAAAGTATTATAACGGTGTAAGATAATGATTACATCGTGTAATGATTCTTGTGGATAAATTGATGGGTTTTTTTAATACTGCACAGAATTGTTTGTTGTCTACTTATATGTACAGCCTACACTGTGTAATAGATAACAACGATTAGGAATCTGTAAATAATCAAAGCTATTATTTTGGTCTTGTTGTATCCATCGTCAGGCTGATTCCATTGACATTTGAAATACGACTATAAATGATAATTACTTGAATGACTTTACTAACATTAGGGACTCAGCAGCAAATCTACATCCTATTCAATTCTTCGCTATCGTTCTCAGCTCGCTCCATAACTGCCCATAAGCTTTTATTTCGTCTTCTTATGATCTTCTCCACATCACTGTTGGATGACCAAATAGTCGCTTCCCATTCAGACGACCTGAAATGTGATATAACCTGAATCTCTTCGCAGTGTATACCCATTCCATCTCCATTTCCTTTTGCATATATATTGGACAAAACAGGTTATTTTTCTTCTGATCATCAATATTGAAAGAATGTGACTGTTGATGAAGCTTCATAGTCTGTTGGAAATGCTCTCTGCTTCACTGGCTAAGTCTCTGTAACATATGAGAAGCACTGATTTGATATTTGTGTCAAACTGAATTCGGTTCGTATGTTCCTTGTGCTAAGTACTGTGGTAGACTTGTGTAGACTTTAGATACTTGTTGACTTGATGTAGTATTCTGTACAGAATCTGTGTTATTTATTTTCATTTTCTATAGTAATGGTGTGGCTGTATTTTGGAATATGCCTGAAGAGAATGTGAGTCTTTATTTTTGCCTATTATTTCTATTATTATGATTATTTATTCCTGTATAGAAGGTGTAGTATGAATTGGAAGGCATTTTCAACGTCTAGACTGTTAGATGTTATTAACGCGAGAAATACCTTTTAGTCTCTGGTGTTTTTAAATGTTTTGGGAAAATGTATTAATTGTTTTTCTGAAAATAAGCAGGAGTTTTGATTGATCTTACTTATACGCTGAGACAATAAAAGCATTCTCTCGGTACTTTTACTGTTTAAGTGGGCTGGTTTTATTAGATAGCATCTCAATACTGTATTATTCTCATATCTAAATAAATTACGAATATGATAATGCTGCATATAGCTCAATAGCTTCGTAGAGTTTTCGTGTTCGAGTTTATTTACTATACATCTAATGCATAAAAGATGACAATTAAAACCTTTCTACCTAAAGCTTTTTAGGTAAAAGAAGACTGACCGAATGCTCTTGGAAACCATAAGCTGTAACCCACTAGTCTAGGCTATCAGTTTGTAATCACTACTAAGTCACTGTTTTGAAGTCCACTCCATATACCGACGTTTAAGCAGTCAGTTAGTATTACTCACTAGCCCTTCGTATATAATAAGTGTGGCTCATTTTCAACCGCATAAAACTTTAAGTTGTTGTTGCATAACATTTGGACAAATACTAATATAACTCTCCAGTTAGTAGTGAATATATTATGAGAGCTAATAAAACAGATTTAGAGATGGAATGCTTGTTTTTATGAGGCGTTGATGATTGTACACAGCTATTCTATTTTCTTTTAATACCCAGATAGGGTACCACTTAGGTACATATTTAAGGTATCAACAAAGCTCATTGACATGACCGTTAATACACTTGTAGCTGCGCTAACGAATTTCCTGTCTAGTCGATTCGTGAGCCTATTGTTCTAACCACTATTAGCAAATCATATTTTATTGATTTACTTATCACCATTGATAAAAGTATCCTGTTTTGTGTATAAATTTGTCTTGTATCTTAGCATCTACAATTTTTGAGACAATTTCACGAATTCAGTCAAGGATTTTTAGATGATAAATTTATTGAACGTGAAGATTTACAATATTGTTTAACTAAGTAAGAAATAACTGTAGTAAATGTTTGGAAACTATTTTCCCCCTTTGTTTGTTTTAATTCTTACTACTAACTGGATAACGTATGTCTAGGAGAGTATGCTACTAATTATTGGATCGTTCTACCAAGTGGGCTATATACACATGCTGCTTGATGTTAGATGTTCGGTGGTTTCCAGTAGAAAACCTTGTATCTCGGTTTTGTGCATATCACAACAGCAGTGGGGTAATGTCTGCGACTGTAGTACTTGATGAGTAGGGCTTTAATCTTTAATGATGATAAGTGATATCCATGCGACTTTTCTGATTAATATAGTAGAACATACGGGAACATTCGTTGTAGTCAGTGTAAATCTTTAGATCGTTGTATTATGAACACTCGTCCATTACGTCAAGGTAGCAGTTTTCAGAGAGTTAACTGCTCGGAATTATGAAATAACTTGAGATAACATGACCTTTTGTGTGAAATTCCTGAACCGACCGATCACTATCATTTAATTTTTTTATTTTGATTATAGCTTGATTCCACACAGTATTTTTGGTACATGTATGAAATTCCCAGCATGTGATATCGGTAGCCCAAAGTTTGCAGGCCGATCATTGATATCAGGTGCGCGTCGGCAGGGGATCGAATCTCGGACCATGTGCATGGTCAGCGAGAGTCCTAACTGCTGTGCCACGGACGCGAAAATTTAATTGCCTAGCTGTAACAATTGACTGTACATTTACAAACTTTGGTTTCTCATTGGTTTTTTTGAAATTATATCCCATTAGGAAATTTGAACAAAGGTGTGAGTACCTAAAATAATAATAATTATAGTGTGAAATCCAGTTAAAATATTTGTAAGTACAATCATAGTTAAATACTAAGTTGTAAAACAATTAACATCATATATAGAATAGTTCATAGAATGTATAGATGTTGGATGGGATTGTAAAACTATAAGGTTGGTAGGTAAATAAAAAACATTTCATAAAATTGTGTGAGATTCGCCACTGCAAAGTGTTTTTGATCTAGAATGACAAGTGGAGTGAGTGAAACCACGCTGGAATGTGCTCTTTTATCGATTTGTCAGGATTACACTTTGGCACTCAGATAAAGATATGACATAATATTGAACTGACACCCATACAATGGATACTGATAATTGTAGCTCACGTGCATAGTATTTTAAGCAATTTATGACTGATAGGTAGATAGACAGAACATTTCTATTCACTAGGGTACATGTATGTTCAAGTGACAAGTACTCTCTGGATTTAATTGTCAAGTACTGCTAAACACATCTAAGTATGTTATGGAACTATGCTTTTATTTATATTGTAATACTTCAACGAGACTTTTTAATCATCAGTTAAATTTTCATAATAAAATCATTTTTAATTGGACATTAGTCAGTAACTTCTGTAATGTGTCCTACTCTTGGTGCAAACTGAATTCAAGTTTGCAGTGTGGCCAACATGCCACCACCAACAACACAGTGCACCGTGATGGTGAGCCACTTAGTGGCGTGGTGGCCACATTGCAAACTTGACTGATATAATTCACTATATACCAAAGATAGGACTAGACACACTACACCAGTTACTGACTATTGTCCAGTTTGAAATATCCAATACACTCCTATCAGAGGTCAATCACGAACCCGAATAGCTCAGTGGTAACGTCTCTGACTATAGCACTGGCTGGTGATGTATGTGGGTTTGAATCTCAGAAGGGATATGAGTTCCTTCAAGGTTGCGAATTCCCCATTGCTAACTGGCTTCCTACCGATTGCCTACAACCATCTAATACCAACAAAATTATTTTCAATTAACTCAGTAATCTTTATGATCACTTATGGTGATAAGTAAATGATGTTTACGCTTGTTATCTTATTATTTGATAGTGATGAAACTCGTATTGTTGGAGAAGATATTTATTTACAAACTTCATCATTGGAGCATTTAACAGAGTGTCCACAGTTACCTCACTCAGGGGATGTACAAAAAGTGAGAAATTAAAACAAATTCTTCACTTTATATAATTTTAAATTTACTCATCAGGATTTTGCTACACAAGACAATTTATCAAATTTGGAGTTGACACCTGTAATTGATAATACGCTATTGCAGAAATTTGCATTTTCTGATGCTTTAGCTCTATCAGGTATGTAATATTTGTTATTTAGTGTTTTCTTTATATATACATATAGCTATAATTCCTGTCTACTATTTTGTAATGATTACACTGTTTTACATATATCATTATTCAGATTGTGAACTGAGTCTACTTAGACCTTATGCGGATAATATGCTTGCTGTACTGTGCTGCTGGTTTCCTATGTTCCTTCATGTACATCTTTGCTCCTTTATGAATTTGAATAAAGCAAAGAACAACAGTGGTTTTTGCCGAATAATATGGCACCATCCATTGTTTATTTCGTTGGCTTCTCGTCAGCTATTTACAGACTTAATAAATTCTTATCAAGTTCATGTACAGAAAAGTTCTAACATACTTGCGAATATATTACATGATGTCAGTTGACAGGAAGTCCCTAACTTGGTGAACAGTGCTCAGAAAATTACACTTTTAGTTTTTTACATAGGAAGTTCAAGTATAAACAAAGTAAATGTATGCATAGAATGGTGGAGTTACGTAATAAAGATGAGAGGTACGTAGGATGATGAGTAACCAATAAATTGGATGACAGTATATTGAGTCCAACTCAAATCATAGAAACAACTTTTCCTTGCCCTGGTAACTGGGTGTTTTTATTCTCTATTTCATTTGATTGCGTAATCTTTTGCTTTAACCCCACCCCTTTCACGTAGTGTAATTTTGCTTGTCTCTTGTTTCTTGAGTTGGACCCAGTATGTTGTTAACTAATTTATTAGTCACTCATCATCTTACGCATTTCTCGTCTTTATTACGCAACTCCTTTACCATTCTATGCATACATTTACTTTGTTTAAACTTGAACTCCCTGTGTAAAAACTGTATGTTTGGTTTTCTGGGCATTGTTCACGAAGTTCGGAACTTCCTCTTCAATTGACATCATGTGAAATTCGCAAGTATGTTAAAACTTTTCTGTACAAGAACTTAAGAAGAATTTATTAAGGGTGTAAGCAGTTGATGAGAAGTCAACGAAATAAATGATAGTGCCTTATTATTCTGCAAAAACTGTTTTCGTATATGTTTGCAGTTGTTTCTGACAGTCACTCTGTACTTTTCGTCCGTTAATTTATATTGGAGTGAGATGCTCCATCTCTTTTGAGAAGTGTCGGTTCCTAGTACGGACGTTTTGACAATGTGTAAAGGTTAACATTATATATTAGTTGGTTGGTTGATAGTGGAATCCAGGATATTCATTTTTTTCCCGCTTATAGGACCTGCCATTGAGTCTACAGAGCTGGTGCATTTTTAGTGCAATATAAAACAACCAATGGAGAATACAGAATAACTCAAAGTAGTAATAACTAATATGCACAGCTTGAACACTGGTTTGTGTGACCCAGTGACATAGTGCACAATGCTTTGGCAATTGAAATGATGGGTGCTAGATTCAAGTCTCAATGAGAACTCCATCATTCATCTGATGACCTTACTCATATGGTTGGAGAGTTCCAAATGTGACGAAATGTACATCTAGATTCCATTGGTAGCCATCATCAAACAAATACACACTATGTATGAACACCTATTGAAATATAAATATAATTAATTTGATCTATTTCACAATGTCCAAGTATCGGTTTGTAGTTGATTTTTGTTTTATTGGTTGCTAGATTTCATCATGAGCTGCCCTATTCAGCTGTTACTGCGGTTCTAATGAGTAGCTGTAACCAGTAGGGTACTGCAGGTCGAAGGTGAGGGCTGCTACTCATTGAAGACATTGGTAAATGGTTGTGAATTGGCAGAAATTAGAATTCATGAGCCATTAGATCAGCTCCCAGTGGCTTAATGGTCTACGAGTTCGCCTTGTAACCAGAAGGTTCTGGGTTCGAATCTTGGCGGTAGATGCGTACTGCTTGAGGGTCCCAAAGTAGGACGAAACAACTGTCCAGTACTCTCAGGTTTTCCAATGGTTCTCTAGCTGATGTCAGCTCATGATGAAATCCTTAAATTTATTTCACAGTGCACGAAATTTTCACAAACATTAAATATCATCTTGTTCCCACTACTGATGAAGTGTATATTTGAGTTGTTAGTTCGTATGTTTGAGCTGACAATGTTAAGTGCCTAGAATATGCCCTTTCTATTCCTTGCCGTTCCCAGTGGAACATACGGCTTCAAGTCAGAGATTTTAAAGTTTCATTAGCAATGGTGTTTTTTTTAAGGGGCAGACTTCCGCTAGCCTAATACCCAACCTTCCTTGTTTATCTGGTAAAGGACTGCACCGGACAGGGATCGAACCCCGGATTATTTTCGTGGCGGGCCAGTATTTTTCCAGTGACGCACAGAATAGGCTTTAATGAAGTTTTATTCTATTCACAGAATTTCAACACTGTTCATTAACCAGTAGTGTAAGTAATTCCATCATAATTACAGTTAGAATATATTTACACTTGTCAGTGTTACATCTCACACTATCAAGATATGCTGCCGTTTAGAGGATTTTTGGTTTAATAATTCAATGCAAATATACCAATCAGTGATGAAAAGAAAGATGAGTATCCACTGTAAATAGATACGCTGACCGGCTTGTTTTATTTCACTTTTTAAGTTTTACTTTTAAGTTTTACTTATTCTGATGAAAAAAATAATAAAAATCTCTGTGAAAAATTTAGAACAACATATTTTAAAGCGAACAATATTGTGCTTTCAATTAGATTTCATCATGCCTAATTAACTCTAATATACATAACTTTGAAAATATAAAAATTCAAATATAAACCATCAATCACGGTGTTTTGTCAATAGGACCTGTGTTGACAAGAATAACGAAAAACAGCATGACTAAAGCAAACAAATGATCAGGTAGAAGTAGTCGATAAAGGCTAAGAAAGACAAATGGACAGATTAGGTAATCTTAGATTATAATGGAAGCAAATAAACTGTGTTTTAATGAAGATGTGATAAGATTAAGGGGATGATAAGAGAGGGATTGAAAATATAAATAAGGAGTTGATGAAGAAGTCATCAGTTGTTTAGGTCTTCAAAGGCCAACAAGGGATGGATAATGGCTGTATGAAATTCTTTTGAATACATAGTTTAGGTTTAATAGTTCGAATGCCTACCACCTCAGCTATGTGCAGTAGACGATTACGAAGTCTGTCGGGAAAATTCGGTAGGGTGCGTTGAGTCACCTTGAATGCTTTTGTTTTCTCCACTACACAACCACTATCAATTAAATGTGACAACATTGAGCTACAGATGGTTTTGGTCTGTCATTTACGAAATCACGATGGGAGATGTTCAGTAAGACGTTGACTGAGCTGTCTAATAGTACGCCTAATATAATTGTCACCACAGGTGCAGTTAAATTGATAAATGTACGTAGAGTTTGCAAAACTACCTGGCTTATCCTTCGTCTACCAGGGAATGACGAATATAGGTTTGCTGCATAAGAATTTCTTCGTATACTCCTGGAAAGTCTCTGGGATACAATCTCACTTGACAAGTCACCATTAAATTTCTACTTAGTAAATAGAGGTTTATTCCATGTCATCATAGTCCCAGGTTTTCCATCCAATGTTTTCATATGCTTCCTTTCGAAACTAATCAGATAGCCCATTTCTGTTGAGTGATCAACCGCATATATCTTTCTTGCTCTGCTCGTAAGACACTTGACAGCATTTTTTGTATTTGATGGGCACATAACTAACTATGTGTATTGTCCTGTGAATGTGCTTTTTCTGTACACACTTCTCCCAAATGACGCATCTTCTCGCCTACTTAGCAAGACGTCTAGAAATTGTAGTTTATTATCCTGCTCCTCTTCACAAGTAAAAGGAAGCGAAAAGTGGATGTTGTTGAATTTCGGCAACAATTCGTCTATGTTGGCATTCCCATCAACTAAGATAAATGTATCATTGACATTAACATATATATCCAACTCATCGACGATGTCTTTCAATCCCCCGTTTTCAAGTTTTGCGAGAAAGAAGTCAGCTAAGATTGTATAAATTCACCTATGTAAAATAACACTGCTGATAGATTTCTTTGATTGGATATTTGACATTTTGGATAACAGGTGATAAAAATGTGATTTGGAGAATGTTCTCTTGGCATCTTGAGTGAAATGTATCTCCATCTATTCAATTGACAGCGCTGGTTTTACTACACTAACTCGTAAATACGACTGTACATCAAATCCCTGCAAACTGTGTGTTTATTCATCTGTACTTCTAAATTTATTTTTTTACTTTTTTTTGATTTACAGCTTGATTCCACACTGTATTTTCGGTACAAGTATGGAATTTTCAGCATGGATATCGGTAGCCCAAATTTTGCAGGCCGACCATAGATATCAGGTGTGCGTCGGTGCGGGCTCGAACCCCGGACCATGTGCATGGTGGGCGAGAGTCCTAACCACTGTGCCACCGACGCACGTCTTGTCAAACAGATGATCTGAATACTTAATATTGAAAACATGAAGGACACCTAAAATTCATCTTAATTGACTATAGACAACCTAGTCAAATATCGTTCTTAGATCAAAAATTAAAACAGATAAAATCTTGATATGCGCGTTAGTAGCTCAATAGCAGAATGCTTGCTAGTCCCATGGTGGATGTGTGGTTTTAATCCCCTTCTTTTGCACACCTAGATCTTGCCTAATAGGTAATAAGTGCGGGGGACGTTGGATAAGAGGCTAATAACCTTACTGCTTAAAAACAACAACATCACTACTGGAACCTGAAATATTTATCACTTTGAAAGTTAGTGCCATAGAAGCTTAAGTCTAGAATTCTTTGACTCCTTGCTCTTTAAACTTCCCAACCAACAAAGGGATTAGACAGGGTTGTCCGATCTCTCCACTTCTCTTTAACTTTGTCACTGATAACATTCTGGAGTCAGCTCTGAAGGGTGTGCGTTAAGGTGAACTGCTTGAAGTTGTGGATAAGTGTGTGTATCCAGGTAGTTGTGTAAGTGTTGGCGGGGGGTGATGGATGGAATTTCCAGCGGTGTCATGGAAGCTTAGGGTGGCCACTTCTGGCGCCGTCGCGACGTTAGCCTGGCTGTCAAACGTCAGGTATACAATGTTTCGGTGCGGGCTGTCTTGCTCAACGCCTGTGAAACCTGGCCTCTTCCAGTTGAAGATGTGCAGCGGCTCTTCGTATTCGATCATCGCTGTCTCCACAGGATTGCTTGCTCTCGATGGCATCATCGTGTGAGTAATTCTTAGGTCTCGCAGCATGTGTTTGAACACAGTGGAGATCACCATTCTTTGAGTGTCGTCATCTGGAAACACTGGCTTTGGTGGCTTATACATATGCTACAAATGTCATCCCAAAGGCTTTCGTACAGGTCTCTGCTCGCTAGCCTTGAAACGGGATGGAAAAAGCGAATAGGTGGGATGAAGGATATTTGTTTTAGGTTAGCATCGATTGACGCGTCATGAATCCCTGGTTGGTGTCCAAGAGATAGCTCGGATCAGTGACTCGAAACGTTATCGGATATGACCAAGAATCGCAGTCAATAGTGAACACGCTGCAGTTTCCTTCTTTCTTCCCTTTCCGAAGATAATTGACCAATGTTGTTTGAACTTATTAAATATGACTGCTTTCCTTCCAGATGAAGTACTTTATTTGTTCTCCACCCGTATTTCTAATTTTAATCTATGTTGTTTTATTATTATTGTGTAGCGCATCTTCTTGGTGGCATATTGTACCAAGTTTTTTTGTGTGCCTAAATGAATGAATAAGTGGCTCTTTAAACCTTATTAGTTCATATTAAAATATGACGTATCTTGATAAGTGATTTTTTTCTATTCCTTTATATTCCTAATGGAACATAGGGCTTCAAACCAGAGCTTTAAAGTTTTGATAGCAGTGATTTTCTTTTCACGGGGTGGGGTTGCTATTCCCAAACCCAACTTTCCCTCCCTACTGGCCTTACTACCGGCTTAGTGAGGTTTAGAAGTGTGTTGGCAAAGGATAGAACCTCGGACCACTTGGGTAGTTGGCGATCACTCAAACGCTGAACCACTGACTCACTTATCTGTATATATATAATGTATATTTAGTGCATTGATGCAAGATATATTTTGTTGTCCAAATCGAATTTTTCTTTACTTTTTTTCAATATTGAAATCTTATACTGTTTTACAGTTAAGCTTTCCCTTTTGGAGAATGCATTCGATACTGCAGTGATTGAAATTGAGCCATGGATTGAGGTGAGTCGTAATATAGCACTTTATATATTCTGATTAATTGATTATTGTCGTAGTGCAGTATTGCGTAAACGCGTAGGTTTTTTTTCTCCGCAATATTTATATTAATTCCTTCAATTCTTTTTCATTCCTCGAGTTTCCAACTAGAAGATAATGCTTCAGAATTTGCCGTCTCCTAGCCTTACGCTTAACATTCTTCAGGCTCACTGTCAGCCAGAAAACTTGACGTGGTTTAGGAGTGTGTCTGCCAGGAATCGTAGCTGAATTCCCTGCATTGATACCACCCATGCGCCTGACTATCTGACGTATTATTATTATTATTATATTATTGTTCCCTCGGGTTCCGAGTGGAACATAGGGCTTCAACAAATCTTCAATTTTTCCTATCTTGTGCCGTCCTCTTCAGCTGGGTCGGCGACTGTCCAAATTCTTTCATCTCTTCCCCACAGGATCTTCTGCGTGTCACCCTCGCACTGACGGCCCGCCCACTCGTCCCTTCCCATCTGGATTCCACTCGAGCAATAGCCTGTCACGAGATGTGATTCGACTGTCTCCGCAATCAATGTATGCCCGAAACATCTCCATTTTGTGCCACATATTTATTGTGAGATCGGTTGTTGGTTGGTTGGTTGGTTTGTTGCCAACCAAAGTTTCTTGTTGCAAATTCATTCTGACCATTTGATCTTGAGTTTGGAGCCAGCGAAGTTAGTTTTGATGATAGTCTGCAACTGGCTGTTGGAAATTCTTTTTGTGACACTCACGCTGACCAAGTTCCTGACCGGTATATAGAAGGACTGACTGGATTGACATTGGTGTTGAAAATCCGAACATTGTTCCTTATGGTGAGTGAGTGTAGATTTCCAAAAAAACTGGTTTCAGATTGATGAAGGAGTGTCTTCAATTTCGGATTCCGGATGACTTCGACATCTTCATCCGTCCCTGCTGCTTGTGGTTGAAGCCGTGCTTCGTGGATAAGTGATGGAGGTCACCTCTGTTAAATCTCTCCCGTTGATGGTGATTGGTGCTGGTTGTTGCTGTTGTTGCTGGTGTTCGTTGGTCTCTTCTTCATCACCTCCGTATTCTGTATGTTCACTCGCAGTTGTGTCTTCGCTGATTCTGCGAGTTTGTCGCCTGCGAGTCTTACAGTGACACTAGATATATATTATCATCTACGAAATCCAGATCTTGTAGAGTCTTCTGATCGATTCAGTCAGCGTATTCTTGTCTTCTCACCCCAACGCAACGCACAGTCTGATGCATAATTCAGTCAGTCGACCACAGTTAGAAATACCACCAGTGATAATAGATAGATAGCTCTGCCTTACTCCTGTCTGACATGATGAGCTCTAAACACGCGTGATCTACTGTTGACTCTCCATCTACACCACCAGCAGTCATCTAACACTGAATTGTGTGTAGAAAACTTATAACTTAGCTGTTAGATAGATTCTTCAAATCTCGAAAGATGGATTACTGTAAAAAGAATGAATATTCTTTTCGATAACTTCATCATCAGATTCTACAGTTTTATATCCACAACAATGAAGGAAGGAATGATTGATCCTGACAGTATTGATGTTTCTTAAAAGAGTAACATGGAATCATTTAGATAGAAATTGCAAACTTAATTGACAAATAGATGATTGTTAATAGATAACAGTCGAAAATATATGTACATGTGGTGTGGTAATGTGTATTATTGTACGTATAATAATACACCAATATTACAAAGTAAATGACTATGACTGACAATAAATGAATGTATAGTGATAAATTCTGATGAGTCATGTTCATAAAAGCTCTACTCATATTGATTATAAACTTCAGTTGAATGAGTGATCATATCAAGGTCGGGGGTAGAGAAAAAGGGTGTTTTGGGGTTAAATTTTATGCGCGTTGTATGTGTGTCAGTGTGTAAGTCAACCACTGCGTTTAAATAAAGCAATAAAATAATTCATATGAACTGTGATCAAAATTTGACCGGATAGTTGCAAAATAATTGAGCACCGAGTGAGAAGTAGACATTTATTAAAATTATATTTATAAGAAAACAAAAGGTTACTGTAAGGACAACGGGTAGGGGAATTTATATGTATAGGATGTAAGACTATAACAAAAGGGCAGATATAATTAGCTATTTATGGATTTGCAAACTCCACAGCAGGCCAGGGCAGGGATTGGGGCTGTTTCTTCTATATGCAGAGCACCGTTGACCTAGGCGAATTGCAATAGTCTCTGCTGTTTGGAGTATACAGCACCTGAATGCTTTTGGTAATTTACTTATTACGGAAAGCAGCATTAAGTGGCACTAGAAATTGCTCAGTCATATATGGTATATATGATAAGGATAAATATAATGAAAATGATGCACTAAGAGAGTAGAGTTGAAGTGGATTCATTACAAAACTTTTAAAGATTATTAAATAAGTGAACTGGTATAAAGATTTTATACTTTATTCACTCAAAGGCTTATACACTAAACTATTATCATATATACACAAACACGCTGTTTATGTTGAAAGGTTAAAAATACTGTCTAATTATTCAAAATATAGTTGTTGAAAAAAGATTTGAAAATACAACAAAATGACTAAACATTGAATGTTTAAACCTAATGATGATTATGTCACATTCTGACTGAGAATTTACGTAGTATTTCTCAATACTATTCTTTTGCTCCCAGACTGGGAAATGGGACTTCAGCGGCAACACCTCTCATTGCACACACCTGTCTGACATTACTTTCAGCTGGCTTCAAAACTACCTACATACTTTCATTTCTTCTTAACACAGTCTTTTCTATATTACTATCGAACCAGTGCTAGTTGCTTGCCACTCAGTTTCCACTTAAAGGCGTGGTGTTTGAAGGTTTTTATTTGAAGATTGGTCTTTCTTTTTCTTTTCATTCCTTCGCGTTTCAAGTGGCGTTTCTTTTCAACAGAGTGTGGTTGCTAGTTTCACCTCGAAACCATTCCCCTTTTCTGAGCTTACCACTTAGCTAGCTAGGCTGGGTTTAAGAATGCGTCAACTATGGGTCGAGCCCCTACTACATGCGTAGTCGCTGAGTAGTACATCAATTAAACTAAACATAAAAAAATTATCACCCTTACAAGGTTATTATTGAAGAACATATGATACATTTAAGAACATCCGGTTGAAGAATTCTACATAGGAGGAAATTATTGATCCTGTACTTCTGCAGTCGACTGGTTGAAAAATAAATAAACGGATGCTTAGCTTTATAGGTTGAAATCAGTGTCTGTTCTTAGTGTGTTCTTAGTGGTTCTCTTTGCAACTGTTGACTTGATATATACTTAGTTAAATTAATGTTGGGAGTAAGTGAATACACACTGAGGAAATAAAGTAATACGCAAATCACTAGATAAAAGAAGAAATGAGATTGATCGAAATCGGTAACCAGCTACGGAAAACCTGGTTTGTACCTTAAATCGAAAGGTTGTCGGTTGGTATCTTCTAGTTGATATGACGGAAAGCAAACACCCATTAAATTTGTCAGTAAAATTATTTCAACTATGCAGTGATACTTCCATGTCTTGGTTTGAAGGGATTTTGACTGGTTTTAAGTAAGATCACGAATACTCACTAGTGACTGACTATCTACCGGACAGTGTTGCCGTCCACTGAGTTGGGTATAAGGTCAAATACTTGCCTGTGCCACTGACTAGACTGAAGTTAAAATTCGTGGCGCATTAGATTTCTTCCCACGGGCTGAATGGCCGCCTTACAATCTTAAGGTTCTGCGTTTGGTCCTCGGTGGGGTTGTAGGTTCGTACTGTCGAAGAGTCTTGAACCATTACGAAACAGCCGTCTAGTATCTCCTGGTTTTCAAAGGTTCTCTGACTAACGTCAATCCGTGATCTAACCTACACTGGTACGTAAATCTTCACAGTCTGTCACTTAAACAGTGCAAGTAACACTGAATAAGATAAAAAAGATGAAGGTTTATCTTTGTATGTGCACCTGTGTGTGTGTGTGTGTGTGTGTGTGGTTTTTCAATAAAATCAGGATGCAACTCTTTTCAAGAGGAATAGATTTCGTTATAAGGTGACATCAAATAGAGAACTATCGAAAGCCAGACATCTCATAATTCATGGTGGTCATCATATTCAGGGACAAGCATGTTATCATTAAGCGACTGGGACTAAAACAAACAGCTTCACAAATCAACACTTAAAAACTAATTCGTTGCCAGTTTTGAACTAACAACGGAATGAAATTGCCTATAGTTCTGATGAGGAGTTATGACTGTCGGAGTCTACCAAATCTCGTTTGAACGGACACTCCCTGATGACACAGGATGACAGTGGCTCTACACGTCTCAAATTTACAGGAGTTAGAATTGAAACATCATTGCACTTCAACTCACTGGTTAATTATTAAACGTTCTCATCTCCTAACCTGAAGATCCTGGATTCTGTCTGTGGTTCAGCGTTATGAGGACGTGCTGTTGATTGAAAAGCCCTACCTAGATAAAGACGAAACAGCGGTTCTCCGCCTCCTACTCTTCAGCGATTCTCTAAGTGATGCAGGTGTGTAATGCATATAAATTTACTACTTATTTATATGTTTATCGGTCTTTTCTTCATTTTAGAAAATGAAAACAGGTCATGGTGCTGGATTTTGTCAGTCAGCAGTCCTCAGGAAAACTGGTGAATTATATACCATAAAGCAAGTGAAGAATTTTGTTTATAAATGTATTTGTTATAAGAACAAGGGTGTACTATATATTTATCTCGTCGTTGTTTGGAGCACGTCCGCAGTACACACCCACCGCCAGTGTTCGAACCCAGGAACTTCCGGTTATCAGGTGAGCTCGCCGGCCGTTCAGCCACTGGGACGCGGCTCAATGGCCAGCCCATGAATTGTAACTTCTACGGATTCGTGATTTTAGCGCGACTGGCACCAGTCAATGCGATTGGTTAGAATTTGTCCGCACGCCGTACCAGCTGTACCCTACTGGTCACTACTCCCCAATAGAACCCCAGGTAATTACCTGTCTGAATGGTGTCAGTCGCTAGTGAGCTCGCACAGCACTCGGGAATTCCTAGGTTCAAAACCTGGCAGTGGGCACGTACTGATGAAAAGTCCCAAACGAGGACGAAATGGCCGTCGAGTACTCCCAGGTTTTTCAATGGTTCTCCAACTTGATTTTCTCTCTCGTCCCAGATGTGGACTTGAAATCCTATAGGTTGTCCACTGGTTTAATTTATCGACGTAATTAGTGTCCCTGAAGGTCATTTAAAGCATATATTTGCGCAAACGTCAATCGTTTTCACTGTTGACAAAAGACAGTAAGAACTATTCATGTCGATGGTCAGTCTTCCCTTACTGCCGCTTCGCGTTTTCGGTGGTGTCGTATCGTGTTGTCATTGTTGTTGCTAATATTCGTTAGAACAATATGCTCGCGAATCAACTAGGTAGGAAGTTCGTTAGCCCGACTAGAAGTATATTAACGGCCATATTACATTTTGAACAGCTAGATATTATAACTTTTCAAAGAGGAAATCTCACAATAAATGTATTATTCGTAATTCAGATTATTGGTACAGAAGAGTGAACGTTTTTGTACATTTCATATTTGCATGCGTGTATTTATTTGATTCAATCACTCATCAGTAGTAATTGATGAGAAAAATATCTGACAAGGAAAATTCTTTTTTTCTTCCCATCGTATTAATTTTTAGACATTTATTGAATGTGAGTACAAATTTGATAGAAACACCAGATTTTTACTGGGAAAGACCAGAAGTTGAGAAATTATTTGAAAAGCTGAAAAGTGTATTAACTATCTCATCTAGAATAAGGGTAAGTGTCAATTTCTATGCGAATCTTCGCGTTCTCTTTATTAAGAGTATCAGTTACATTATGTCACATTTATGAATTAATCTAATTTATTAGTTTGAGGTTAAATGTTAGAATTGTTTTGATAAGGTTTCCTGCTTTTGATGTAAGCTTCTTTTTTCACATTCGTGCAAGTTTGAAGGTCGGAGTCTGCAACACTTATTAGCGAAATTATAGACTTGACCTATCTACTATTCATGTTTGTTATTCCCGTTGTTATATATGACTGAGGTTGATCAGTCTCATTTTAGTACATGAGCTTCTTGAATGGATGCCCCGATACTACCTAGACTAATAACTCGAAGTTATTTAGTTTAATGGTGGCTAGCGGTACCCGTTGCATTAGATGTAGCTCTCATGGATAATATTTGGAGTTCGAAAGTATGGGTACTGGATTGGAGTCCCAATGGAACATCGCTTCTTATTTGGGAACAAGTACATGCAGCTGACGAGTCCCTAATTCTACCACTAGCCCACACCAAACAGCTATCTTCAGACTGAATCACCAATGTTTTCAAGACACTAGTGATTAATGATACCTTGTTAATGAAGTCTTCACATCAAAACCTCCGAAAAGTCCAGTATAGCATGAAACTTCTCTCTCAGTTGTTTCTTCTTTTATTTTCGAAATGCGAAGGACAGCCGTCTCTGAAATATTTCACTTCCTAAACATCGTACAATTATCGTAGTGGCTAAAACACTTATTTTCAAGTGTCCGTTTGTAGAGATTTGAATGAATTCAAGTTTGCCCACTAACTAATACCAGTGAGGGAATCATTGAAAACCAGAGAGTACTGGACAGACTCAGTTCAAAACTCTTCGACAGTAAGTACTCATGACCTTACCACAGTTCGAACACAGGAAGTTCAGGTTACGAGGCTCGTCCATTGTTCACTGAACCACACGGTAGGGGGTATGATCCATTGAGCTGCGAATTCAAACTGCTGTCAATTTTCAATCGGCGGAAATTAAGGTATATAAACATCCGATTCCCGAGTGCATACTTCAGGAGAGATCCAAACTAAGACGAAATAATTGTGCAATGCCTCTTCAACTTATGTTATTCCGAGAACCAACATCGGTTAGAAAATCATCGAAAACCAAGGGGCACTTAACAGCTGTTCAGTACTGGATTCAGATTTTTCATCATTGCACACCCATTGCTTCACCAGGGATGGGACCTCCACCATCTTGTTGAACAAGAATTCAATGGCCCGTAATTTCCAACTTCTGTCAATTTGTGCTATAGTGGTAATGGTAACTAATGCCCCATTCTCAATGGCCATCCACATTACTTTGATACGGTGAATATTTATTATTATCGGTTTGTTGTCTCGTGGTATTCAAGGAGAGTTACTGAAGTACACACATATACATACCTTAATAATGCACATCCTTTTCATAAATGTTTTGCATACTTTTCCTTGTTTCTTTTTTTGAGTGAAATTTAGTGTGTACAATCATTTAATTTTCAGGATTTCATCATGAACTGACATCGGTTAGAGAGTCATTAGAAAACCGGCCACAGGGAGTACTGGACAGTCAGCTGTTTCGTCAGCTTAGTTTGGGACTCCTCATCAGTAGGCCCTCACCTGGGTCCGAACCGGGGACCTTATGGCTACAAGGCGAGTTCGTACAGCGGGTCAGGTTTGAGGACAAAAATCGCTAGTGGTCGTGCTCTATCATGGACTGGCAGAAGTTATGACTCATGGGTAATTTTATCGGGTCCCAGTTGGTTAGTGGCATACAAACTTGCCTTGTGATCAGATGTTCCTGGGTTCGAACCTCGGTGATGGGTGCGTACCGTTGAGAGCCCCAAATTAGGCTGACGAAACAACTGGCTTTCCAGTATTCCCTGTGGCTGATTTTCCAATGGTTCTCTAACCGATGTCAGTTCATGATGAAATCATGTAACCAGTCAACCTGAATTAATACTTTTGTTTTACGCCACTGATTCACATGTTATTTTTTTGTCTGTGTCTATCAACCCAATAGGTATTAAATTCTCGTTTGGATATGTGTAATGAATTGACATCACTTGTGACCAATCATTTACGCTCAATTCATTCAACACGTTTAGAATGGATGATAATTATTTTAATTCTTGTTGAAGTTGTTTTTGAAGCTCTGAATTATTATGATAAAAAAAACAAACAAAAGTCATATTAATTAATTCATTCATGTGAGGAATAGTGCATAAAGACAAAATATATATGTACATATTCACAAAAACATTAAATTAGTTAGTACACATCTTTCATTGATGAATTGAATGTAATGCAATGCGATGTCAATGTAAATTTTTGTATTCAGAAATTTTATCATTATGTATTGACCTACCTTCTTTACTTTTCATATCCTAAATCTCTTTTATCATGTCCTATAATGAGGATGGTATATACATACATACCTACATAAACTTTATCTTGTTTCAATTTCCATTTATATTATGCTAGATTGAAATTACGTGCACATATATATCATTATTATTATTATTATTTTTTGCTTTAATTCGTAGAGGAACATAGGGCTTCAGCCGCACGTCTCCATTGCGTTCGGTTCCCTGCTACAGCTTTCACCTTGCTAGAAGTCTGCCCATATGCTTTCATCTCCTCTTCACATGACCTCCTCCAAGTCACCCTTGAACTGACGGCCGACTCGCCGCTTCCTTTTTGGGTTCACCTCGACGGCTTCTCTAGTCATGTCACTTGATGGTTTGTTTCCTCAGAGTATGGCCAATCCACCTACATCCATTTCTTCCTACATATTTGCTGCACAATTGGTTCCTGCTGGTTTGGTTTGTTCCCAGAGATCCCTGTTGCTGATCTTTTCTGGCCGGCCATCTGATCTTGAGTATTGGGCGAGGACAACTGTTAATGAAAATATATGTGTAAAACTTGGGCACTGTGGTAGTAAGTAATTCCATATTAGTTTGTTTATTAGATGTATCACACAGTGAAACATCTAATAAACAAACGAATATGGAACTGTTAATGAAGGTGCTCTTTATGACTCGCCAAGTCTCTGATCCGTATAGTAGCACTGACTGACTTCACATTGGAGTTGAAAATCCTGATCTTATTTTTGATGGTGAGTGCTGTTGACCTCCATACAGACTTAAGAATGATGAAGGCTTGTCTTGCTTTTCCGACTCTTGCTTTGATTTCCTCGTCATTTCCGCCTGTAGTTGAAACGATTCTTTCCGGATAGGTCGGTAAAAGAGGTTTTTTCTTTCAGGTTCCTCTCATTTATGCTGGCTGATTGTTGTCTGTTGTTGTTGTTGCTGTGGCTGTTTCTGTTGGTGTTGGCCAGGAATTTCCATCACCTCTGTTTTATCTATGTTCACCTGAACTCCTTCCTATCTTTGATGCTTCTTCTGCCCACTTGTTGCTTTTCACTTGTATTTCTTCTAGTTTGTGGAAAATCAGACATATAGCATCATGGGCGAAGTCCAGATCCTCTACGTCTTTTCTGTGAGTCCATTTTATTCCTGTTTCCTCGCTGCGTTGCCCGTTGTCTGTCGCATTATCCAGTCTACTGCAATCAGGAAGATCATTGGTGATAGTAGACAGCCTTGGCTCACTCCCGTCCTCACTTCGAAGGCTTCCGTAAGTGTCCCGTTGTGGATCACTTGGCATGCAGCATTGTCGTATAACTGTTGGATGAGATGTATAATTGTCGATGGGACCCCGTAGTAGCGAAGCATTTGCCAAAACACCTCTCGATCGACGCTGTCGAAGGCCTTTTCAAAGTCGATGGAGTTGAGATAGAGAGGTGACTGACTGCCATTCCAAGCTTTGTTCAATGATGATCCGTAGTGTGGCGATTTGATCAATACATGACTTGTTTCTCCTGAATCCAGCTTGTTCTGGTCGGAGTTTTTCATCCATGGATGATGTGGCTTAGTATTTTGCTTGGGATGGACAGGAGCATAATTCCACGCCAGTTTTTGCATTGACTTAAGTCTCCTTTCTTTGGTAGTTTGAATAAGTATCCTTTCTCCCAATTCTCTCAATATATATATATATATATATATATATATATATATATATATATATATATATATATATATATATATATATATATATATATGCCTAGGCACCTATCGGACAAAAGTTCGACTAAGATTAAGCCAGTCAAAGATGACAATAGAAAGTCTATCACAAAAGAAGTGGAGCAAATAAAACACTGGGCTGAACACATCAAAAGACCTCTTAATCATCCGCTACCTACAACGCGCTCAACAATACCAACAACAGAAGCAGATCTATCAGTGAACATCGACCCCCCGACGAAATCAGAAGTCCTGGATGCAATCAAGATCCTAAAAGCTGGAAAAGCAGCAGGACCAGATGGAATCCCAGCAGAAGCATTGAAAATGGACCCAGAGACAACAGCGGACTTGATGACGCCATTACTTGAGAAGGTGTGGAAAGAGGGTAAAGTACCCGAGGATTGGGAGAAAAGATACTTATTCAAACTACCAAAGAAAGGAGACTTAAGTCAATGAAAAAACTGGCGTGGAATTATGCTCCTGTCCATCCCAAGCAAAATACTAAGCCGCATCATCCATGGATGAAAAACTCCGACCAGAACAAGCTGGATTCAGGAGAAACAAGTCATGTATTGATCAAATCGCCACACTACGGATCATCATTGAACAAAGCTTGGAATGGCAGTCAGTCACCTCTCTATCTCAACTCCATCGACTTTGAAAAGGCCTTCGACAGCGTCGATCGAGAGGTGTTTTGGCAAATGCTTCGCTACTACGGGGTCCCATCGACAATTATACATCTCATCCAACAGTTATACGACAATGCTGCATGCCAAGTGATCCACAACGGGACACTTACGGAAGCCTCCAAAGCCTCAGGATGGTCGGGGGTGGGTGCCTTGCGCTGCGGGTTGGCCACCCCTCCGCACACCTCTTGAAATGCTCCCATATGACCGGGCGTCTTACATAGCCTCTCCTGAGGAAGTCCTACTCACTGCCTTCACGTGGCGGAGGTGTTTCTCACCAAAGTGAGAGGGCGAAAGCGGATGCCTGGCGCTCTCCACCGGGTTGACTGTCCATTGGATGACAGTCTAGGGGAGATGGCTAAACCCTGATTCCAAACCTGCAACGATTGGCGTATGAAGCTCACTGGAGCTCACCGGCAGACGTATGGACAAAGGGCTTGTTGGATGTCCTGGATGTCTGGCCCCATTCAAAAAGGCGTATGAACCGGACTCTGGTCATCGGCTGCCAATGGATAGTGGACTCCCTACTCCACTCCTACTGCCTTGTAGGTCACACTTGGTTGTGTAAAGGCTAGAGCTGCACTCTCAAACAAAAGGCCGAGCGATTCTGGGGAAATCACTCGTACCAAATTCCCATGAAACTTCATGAACTCTCTTACAAATTGCCGCGCCTGGGCAGCGATGATTCGAGACGTTCATGAAGCCGGCTCATCCTCCCGTAGGAGATAGCCGAAGTAAAGTAAAAGTAAAGTATAATTGAATCGTATTGTGTTATTTGAATGACTGTGAATGTCGTTGTAAATCATCATAAGCTTTCATTCATATTAGTGTCATTTGTATTTGTTGTTGATGATATAACTCACTAGTAGATATCAATGTTCATGAATAAACCGTGTCAAGTGATGCCAACTGATGGTATCTATCTTTCAGAGATATTTGCGTATTGTCCCTACTTTTTGTTTAATTTCACCGTAGAATAAACTAATAGAATAGCCCTTGCATACTTATTCACGAACTACAAAACTCAGTATGTCAGTGCGAAATGAGTAGCGGGGGCTGGGAGAGTGCTTGATCCATTGTTTTCAGCTTAAACAATCCACTCAAACAATGAGAGTCAGCCAGCCAGCAATCAAACACTAAATGCTGATGAAGATGTCGACTGTCAATTGATAGTCTTATTTACAACGACAATTCTTTCACAATATTTTATATGAAGGCATAGTTTTTCATCTTTTCTTCAATTAGACTGGTTCGGAGAAGTTTCTGATACTCTCTATCGTTTCCCCCGTGGGTCGGGTACCGTCTGCGGTTATGTAATGTACCGGAAATTGTATAAAAGAGGCACCGAGAACGCGCATTTTAGTATTTATAGCAACACCGTATTGCTCAAAACGCTGAAACAGAATGCTGAGGTGATCTATGTGTTCATCTACCGACGTGGTGGCAATTAAGACATCATCGATGTAAACGAACACAAAATCAAGGCGTTGTGTGACTTGGTCGATGAAGCACTGAAAGGACTGTGCAGCGTTTTTCAGACCGAACAACATTCGTAGAAATTCAAACAAACTAAAAGGTGTTATAATGGCTGTTTTCTCAATGTCCTCTAGAGGGACTGGTATCTGTAGATAAGCTGTGAGCAAACCCATTTTGGAGAAAACAGTTTTACTATGCAATGTCAGAGAGAAGTCATGCAAGTGGGGAATGAGATAACGATCTGGGACAGTAGCATTATTCAAGTGTCGGTAATCCCCACATGGTCATCAGTCATACTCGATCTCAGGTAGCATATGTAAGGGTGAGGGACAAGGACTATTGGATGGTCGGGTGATGCCCAGTTACATCATGTTTTCGAATTCAGCTTGAACCTAACTCACATGCAGCGAGTAATTGCTGAATCCTTTTCCTGTCAGAGACACTCCTTCTTTGAACCAAGACTACTTTGAGTCGATCATGTTGATGGCCTGTAAGAGCACTGTAGACAGTGCAGCTAAGACGCGTCCATACCATGCGATCTGTGACTTAATACCGCTAACAGCAAAAAGGTGTTCAATGATAGCGAAACAAATCCTAGGCTCAGTAAAAGCAAACGGAATCAGATACAGGTCGACTATTGCGTTTATTCCTGAATCTTTCGTCTCCTTATTAATTTCAGATGCAGCTAATGAACGGATAAGTGGAGATATTGTTAATACGTGGATATACAAATACGTAGGTGTATAAATATATAAAATATGCAGCCAACGATAACATTGTAAATATACAGTTTATACAGCTATAAATATTCAAGCGGGCTTTCCAATTAGTTTGTAGGAGACTTATTGGAGAGCTCGGTAACGGTACAAAATATCAGAATAAAAATCCATGTTTATGAAATAATATTGTAACAGTATTTTATCAAGAAAATACAGTTAACGAGTTATAGAAAT